CTCTTATTGCTCAATGGAGTAGATAAGCAGAACAGGCAACAAACAAAAGGAACTATTTTTTATCCAAAACCATTTTTCAAGTTAATAAAATACAGATACTTTGTGGTGAATATTCAATAAGATATAGTCCAAATATAAACACTTTCACCATCCAAAGACACGTGCTGTGTTTCCATATGAGAAAGTAGAAGCTGGTGTAAACAACCAAATAAAGAGAAAGCAGAAAAAGCAAATAGAGTCCAGCTGGGGATTGAAATAAATCAGCATTCAGCCAGCCAATTAACATTTAAAGATAAAGAACAAAAATAAAAGTTCAAAAAGTGAAGTTAAAAGTCCCAGGCATGCTTACGAAAATGTACTGCTGGTAGGAAGAGATGTAAAAAGACCATTGACTTTCTGCCTGCTCCCACAAGGAGCTGCAGTCTTCAGGACTCCCCCCCTCCCAGCTGTCTGAAAGTCATCTTGGGTCATTCCTAAGTGCCCCCATTCAAATCCAGGGGGCAGGGCCACCAAAGAACCAGCTCTGGCGGCAAATAGCAGATTGTGGGTAAGAGAAGAAAAAAAGGCCTCACCCTTCACCAGCCGTCTTGGGGAGGAGTCCAAAGATATCTTCTGTTAGATATAGGTAATCATTGGAATTGGGATTTTAAAATGGAGGAATTAAATGAGACCATTATCACTTTATCTTTTCCAAGTCAGTACTGTATCAAGAAAAAAGCCTTTCTCAACCTTAAGTCTTCTGGATATATAAGATTACAGTTCTTATTATTCCCAGAATATTCTCTTTGCAAATGATTGTAGTCCCTATTGTTGGGAACTACTTGGGAAGACTGATCTAGACTGTCCAAAGCAAGGACAAGACAAAATGGTGAACTCTAAAGACTGACAATCATTCTTCATATTAGTCTTGTATCAAGGCACTATTGAGTTGTTGACATAATTAAACAATCCAATCTTTTCCCATGAAAATTAGTTGCTGGCCCCTGAATCCAGGGGAATAATGATAAATTTCATCCTTGAGTTTCAAATTGGCAAACAAAACAGCTATCTGATTTTAATACTGAGCTGTGAGTCATATAGTGTGATCGATATATATTGGTCCCTTGATGGACTATCTAAAAACTAAGTCCTCTTGGAACCTTTCAGTTCTATAACTTTCCTTATTCAGACCAGATAACGGGCTGTGCTAATTCTGAAAAATATGTGAACAATCATGTAACAATCTACCTAAAAAGACCATGTACTTGCATATTTCATTTGTTTTCATAAAATATGCCTTCCAATAAAATACATGAAAGTAGTAGAACCAGTGGAAATCAAATGCCTTTTCCCTTGTTATTTCTCCCTCTTGATACTTACATGCAAGCATGTGGAAATTGGAAGAAATAAGATTTTCTCTTTTGATAATGGGATTTCTGTGTTAAAGGTGAATGTTTCCTCTCATCCTTTGAAAGTCAGGTAGCTGACCTCTCAGATAAGATTTGAGGCTCCAATTTCGTATTCAGAAGTTTGGAATTGTAAATTTACTGGCATTAGTAGAATGTATGTATATCAGAGAATAGTTCCTGATTAGTTGCCCCCCATCATTCCACATGGTGGTGTTCATATCCCATCAGAAATCTTCAGTCTTCTGAAAAAATCAAGAGGTTTTTATGATAGGCCCATTCTGCTTTATGTAAAATGTCCTAGAACAGGGTTTTTCAACCTTTTTACCGATTGTACCACTTTTAGGATATGGCAATATTCGAGTACCACCTAGCAAGGTGTCAAAAACTTGATGACCAAAAAAACAAACCTGTTCAAAGTTGCAATTGCACTGAAATGACTTATGACCATTTTTCACACTTATGACCATTGCAGCATGCCCAGGGTCATGTGATTTATATTTGGATGCTTGGCAACTGATTCATATTTATAATGGTCACAGTGTTCCAGGGTCATGTGAT